CTAATCCCAAAACAAAATACTTGCATCAATTAGTCTAATACATTTTTAATTGTTACCAAAAAATCTTTTTTTTTTTTTTTTAATTTACAGACACTGTTCATATCTTACTACCGTCGGACTTCCGTCAAACGGTCGCCGGAGACTCGTCGGAATGTTTAAAACATGTTATGAAACTGTAAAATTTTACAGTTCTAAAAAATGTCATAAAACTGCAAAATTTTACAGTTTTAAACCATGATTCATTCCAGTACCAAAAAAAAAATTTGAAACTGCAAAATTTTACAGTTTTCACCGTCTGTAACTAAAACTCGAAAATTACTTGTTCAGAATTTGAAAATTTTCTCATTACAAATCTGTGTGATATCTGTACAAATCTGAGTCATTACAGATCTGTTTCAATGATATTATAGATCTATTTCATCATCAACAACAACAACCATAGATCAACAACTATCCCAAAAAAAATCTGTAAATAGAGAGAGAAAGAGAGAGAAATTGACAAAGATATATACACAAATCTGTTCAATCTAAGTACAGATCTGAGGATGAGCGTCTTCTTGTTCTTGTTCTTCATCGTCTTCTTGTTCTTGTTCTTCATCGCCTTCTTGTTTGACTTTAGGACTGAGATTAGGGTTAGAGGAGGAGGCGTAAAGAGGGAAGCAAAAAGCAGAGAGAGAGGGGAAAGGACTTTTGGGTGTACTCAAAAAGTTGTGGGATTAAATGGTGTCCACATGTTCCACATGGGACCTATGGGTAATTTCCCTTTTTTTTTTTAAGGATCTATTTAAAGGGCCCCAAAATATTTTGTTGGCTCCATATATGGTTTATCCTATATTTATTTATAAGTGTAGTTTGGCCCATATTTATTAAAATAAAAATATAATTTTAATGATTTTTTCTTAATTTTTTTGCCCTAATTTTGTTTCATTAAATTGTTTTGTTTATAATTTTAATAATTATTTGTGCAAGTAAATTTTTTTGTGACTACAGACAAATAAAAAAGTTGTAACTTATCGTTTTATCCGTGAACCCTTTTTTTTCAATGTAAGAGGGGCCCCAATTTTCAAAATTTGCCTTAGGCCCCCTAAATCTCAGGGCGGGCCCTGGGCGGATCGGATTCATGTAGATGCGAGATAGTAGATCCATCATCCAAATCGTATTTACGAATTTTAAAATATTTCATCCGTATTCATCCATCAAAAAATACGCATCCGCCCAAAATCAATTAGGTTGGGTCAGTTTAATCGGGTTGGACAGATTGGACGAATCTATGATCATCCTTACCAATTAGAATACCTTGCTCTGGCATGAGCTAGCCACTAATGTGCCGAATTATTTTTTGGCCGTTTGTTTCCACTTATTTATCACACGAATACTACAAATCCACCCTTATCAATTTAGAAATTACTTATAAATTAATTTCCACCACATTTTACATGGACCTCACATAGATTCCATACTAAAAAAATTATTTTCCATCATATAATCCCAAATTTTTCTCAATAGATAAGAGTGGTTCTCTAGATTTTTACTTATCACGCAGCTATGGTGTTTGGGGGAGAAACATTTTTCTAACGGTGGCTGGGGGTGCTCACAGATCATTTTTCTGTTAGATAATGTCTCAATGGGACTACATAATTAAATGTGGTGTTATCATTTATAAGAAGCCTACCATTTAAGTGATTCAATTTAGTTAATAGGCTTAAGGGTATATGTGTTATGGCCCTAATGTGTAGATACTAGTTGTATAATTTCTATTTCTATGAGGGGCAGAAATAGAAATTAAAACATATTGGTTAAAGTTGGTTTTCATTACCTTTCAGTTTTAAACCAATAATGGTTAATTTATTGGTTTTCATTACCTTTCAGTTATGAAAACCAATTACAACCTTTAAAAGGTTATGGTCCCTATTCCTTCCCAAGGTGAAAAATAAGAACACTACCATTTTTGTTTTTCTAAATCCTCTCAAGGAGAAACATAAGGCACCAAAGGGGAAAGGATTAGAAGGCAATAACATAGTCAATATCAAAGGTTTTATTGACAATCAGACGCTTCCGTTTAACCGTTCATCGATGGATTCAGGTATGTTTTTTGTCTTGATTTCTTGATAATACACATGGTAAATGATCCGAAACATGAAGTTCTGAAATTTATGTTAACATTTTTTACTCAAATTGTCTAAGACTTTGAGAACGTTCACAGGAATCGTGCCAAAATCAACAATGAAAGCTAAATTGAAACTAAAAGAATATGATTAACTAAGGTTTTTGACTAAAATTGATTGAAAATATGAGAACATTGACAGCAATGGTACCACACTCAACATTGAAACCTAAATTAAAAGGAATAGGATATGATTAAGTAGGGTTTTTCACGTAATTTCAGTAAGAATCTGAAAACATTAACAGCAATGGTATCCAAATCAACATTGAATCCTAAATTGGAAGTAACAG